AGGACTTAATGTAGTAATGTGTAGTTTGGGAGAGATAAGTAAAACGTAATGTCCTCTCAGGAGAGTATACCGGTATATCCTCCTGAGACCCCACCCATTCATTTATGTCCATTGTAGTGGACATTTTGTTTTTGCATCTATCTTTTCATTGATGTCAAGAAACGCATTTATTCCTGTTGTACACTAAAGAGGACATGCTGTGAAATTAAAAATAAAAATACATTTGAAAAAAGATGTCTTATTTCCTCCAAAGACATAGAAAATCACAATTAACCTAAAACTGAAGGACACTTTTTTCCTTGGGTCTCAGGAGGATATCCTGAGGGTGGGGGCGCCATTTAGTGGGGGAAATGATTCCAAGGGCCCTCGAGTGACTGCGGCCCTAAGAAATTTGGAACTTAATCCAATTGATCTGGTTTGGGGGCCCGATATAATATTCTTTCATGGGGCCCAAAATCTTTAGCAGCCCCCCTGCCTGAGGGTACTAACTTTTGGTCTAAAATGAGATTCATACCATAGACGTGTAACTACTCCATGGACTGACTGATCATTACTACTAAACAATGCACTTAATGCTTAATCATATTTACTCCAGGCTGTCAAATATCTTTTCTTCGTCACCTTCCGGCAGCCTACTTATCGATGACCAGAGGGAAAGTGGTGTTATTTCTTGAGCTCTTTCCAAAAATGAGCCTCACGGCTCTTCCAGCTCCTTTCATTGGCACGTGCAGGCCGCCACCCAGCAGCTGTTTTCTAAATATTTACCTCTTCGGCTTAAGTGCTATTGCAGGTGAGGAGAGGTATTCGCATATCTGTTCGGTCTTGCCCGAACACTCAATTTGTCTTGTAAGCGGTGCTTTTTGAAGACCCTGCGGCAGATCGAATCGCCATTAACGGCTCTGTTTCAGTTATCTTAAAAAAAAAAAAAAAAACTGTAATAAAACTCTGGTGTTGATGTTTATCCCGGAATCCGGTAGCTAATCCATACGCTGTGCGGAATCGCGTGTTGTATAGGATTGTCCGAAGCGAGCGTGTGGCCCACCCTTCCCCATGAGAACCATGACCGGATCCGTGGAATCTGGAATAAAGGATCTGCGGAATTACTGCCGGAAGGCCGAGAACCGCCTCCTGATTGCAGGCCCCCCCCTTTTTAAAAGCGACCTGGGATTTTTGCTGTTGACATGGCGTGACCTGTTTTTCCAGCTCTGGGCCCTGTACCCAGCTACTCCAACTTTAATTCCTGTTACTTTACAGCCCCTGGCAGAGGGACTTCCCCACAACGGCCCTCCGGAGGGGCAAATGGAGTGTTAACAAGCTCCTACTCTGGGATAGGCCAAGGGTCCGTTCCCCTCATGTCAGGGCCTCTGCCAACCCCATGGGGGCCGGGTCCAGGGCTTGGGCCAAGGCCGGCTCCATTTTGCCACCCCCCCTTTACGAGAACACAGAGTCCACTCCCACCCCCCGGTTGCCAGGAGGGCCGGATGTTGAAAAAGGAGAATGTTCCTTGAAAGGCAGCGATTCAGTGGGGCCCGGGCTGCTTTGGATGCCTGCTGGGCCAAAGTAATCAGATCAGCGCCTCCATCCATGCCTCCACACTGGCCCTTTTGTTGGGCCGGGCCCCCAGGCCGCGGGCTCCCGGCGAGGGCCACAATGCACGGACTCATCTGCAGGGAACTGGTGCCGCATTGAGTCGGCCATCTCAGGTGAGCGCTTTGTTTGCGCGAGATTCATTAATGGGTCAGAAATGCCAGCGATGGATCTTAAGTGTGCCGTCAATGCGAACGTTTGAAATGACCCATCAACTGCAGTTGGTTTTAATGTCCTTCACAAACGGGGAGCTCATGTGTCCCTTGGTCCTGTGGGTTTTCGTCCATGTTTCTCCCATTTCCTATTACAGTCCAAAGATATGCAATTAGGATAACTGGCATTTCTAATTTGCCCATATCATATTGTGTGTGTGTGTGTGTGTGTGTGTGTGACTGCCATCCCATCCAGGATGAACTCCTGCCTAGTGCTCTATGCTGTCTAGGATAGACTCCAGGTCCCTGTATGACCCTATCCAGGATATAAGCATTTGGAGGATGGATGGATTTATGGATGGATAAAATTTTATTGTCCCTAATTGCTGGCAGAGTGCAGAGCTGTCCGCCTTTGGGTGGGCTTTTCAGCTGCAGGACCGCCTGACGGATCCAAGAATTTTGTTTTCCCAAAGGACAGAGCTTGTAGGTTCCCACCTATGCTGAAGACACATCATGGGGCTCGACTCCTGTAGGTGTTTCCAAGTGTTCATCCCTCTGAGGGTTATGTGCAGTTTAAAGGTTGTAAATCCTGCCTGCCGCAGTCTGTTTGCGAGTGTTTATATGTGTGTGTGTGTGTGTGTGTGTGTGTGTGTGTGGGGGGGGGGGGTGTACTCTTCCCCTTCCCCTTAAAGCTGGGGGGGTGAATCTGCTTGGCTTATCACCATGGGCTGACATCGGGATGTGTACAGGGGAGGTAGAACAAGCCCCGCAGGCCTCCCAGCTACAGCAGAATGATCATTTGACATGTAAGCTCCTCTTGCCGTTGGTTGGGGCAGGGGGCCGTTACTCACCCTCCCACCTCACAGCGTTTGGATTAGTCTCTCCTCGGCCTTGCCGACCCCCAGACTAACTGAGTAACATTCTCTGACTAACACAGCCAGCCAGAGAGTCAGCTTGTCTGATCCAGAAACAACATTTCCAGAGTGCCGCAGCTAGATAAGTTTTATGTTTCAGAAACGTAAGCTGTCTAACAAATCACAGCCACACCAGGTCTCTGAACACATTGTCCTACATTCAGGTTGAAACGTTTAAGAATTAGCCTCAGAAAAAAACCCTGAACCCATGGTGGACATATTTTTTTTATATATGCTGGATCTGCTTTGTTTTCCACATTGAAAAATGCTTAATATGAGTTTGGCTTGGGTACCTGATCATTGATATAAAGCTCAGTACTCTTCAAAGTGTAGGAATCCAAGTCCCGTGCACCCCCGCCCCCCCCCCCCCTCAAAAAAAGCGGATTATGATTTAATGATTGGGGTAACTGAATTCAGAACTTAATACTTAATTTCATGGGAATATTACTGGAACTTTAAGTGTAGAACTGCTTTGTTATATCATAAATGTCCGTCCATTGACTTAGTTGGTCAGCTGATTTGCATGCATTGTTCCTCACCCTTTCGATGCAATTATGCAAGGGTTGCTGTCACCGTGGGAACAGGTAACTTTATAACTAGTGTTGGGTCCTGGTGGAGCCCAAACTTCACTGAAGAGTGCTTTGGTTGCCAATGGATGGTGGAAGGAAATGATGGTGGAGAGAACAGGACATGCCAAGGGAACCGTGGAGGGGTGGTGCATTTTATTGGGGGTTTATGGTTTATAGTTTTAAGGTTGACACATTTCATGTGTAGCATTTTGGGTAATGCCCACGCCCTGCGCGTGTGAGAGGTTTGTGTGCATGGGAAGCAATATGGATGAATGAATGAGGGTATCAGTGGGTCTCTGTACCTGTGCGTGGGACCGGGCTGGACGGGACAGGACAGGAGTGTCACCGTGACCGCATGCTCATTAACGCGCTAATGGCCGAGCCTGCAGCGCATTCCGGATCGGGATGCGGCAGACGAGCGGCGTGTAATTATCCGAGTGACCTCAGCGTGTTGGGCTCCCAGCATAACGGCAAATGTGGTTTATTCATAAGGGCTCTGAGGCCTATTAAACGAGGAAAACCCGTAAAGTTCAGTGGGGGGGAAAATAATGGCGTGAGTCCGATGGCAACATCAGACCCCTTTTGATGTTTTCTTTTTGGGAGGGGGTGGGTGAAAGGGAAACATCTGAATTTCAAAATTCTGCGTTTTAGCAGATTACGTAAAAATGTGGGGTTTCTGAAATACGACATTCGACCTCAAAATACGGCTGCAGTCATACATGCATTTCGCCTCCCTCATGGACCTTTGCTTTGAGATTTAATTGGGGTTTTTTAGCGTGCTAGATATGTTGCCCACAAAACTGTTTTTATAGTTTGAACCTTCTTCAAATTCTTGTACATTGTATATTAAATTCTTGTATATTGTTTTTTTCCTGTCCTTTTTCTTTTTAAAATGGGGTGAAATTCAGGCAGCTGTGCTTCGTTCTTTTTCAGATTTTCAGCTGCATGAAGTAGGTCTCCCCAGGCCTTAAAATTAATTTATATTTACGGTGACACCCTAACTTTAGTTATCCTGATCATTAAATTTGTCCAGATGATATATTTTTGTTGCGTTAAGGCTGACTTTTTGTGCCTCTTGTAACACTGCCTCACATTAATGTTAAAACTTCCCAAAGCCTCCTCCATGATCCCTGTCAGGGTGCCGCTGTTTTTTTCCCTCTCCTTCTCACCCCAGCTGTATTAAATTAAGAAAACTTTCTGAATTCACTCCTGCCCTTTGTGGAGACCTCCTCCTCTCCCTCTGCCTCTCCCTCCGCCTCTTCCTCCTCCTCTCCCTCTGCCTCTCCCTCTGCCTCTCCCTCTGCCTCTCCCTCCGCCTCTTCCTCCTCCTCTCCCTCCGCCTTTTCCTCCTCCTCTCCCTCCGCCTCTGCCTCTGCCTCTTCCTCCTCCTCTCCCTCCGCCTTTTCCTCCTCCTCTCCCTCCGCCTCCTCTGGTCATTGACATAACACATGTCCGTTGTATGTACAGAGAACCGGCCTCTGGCCATGACATGTGATGACTAGAGAGGCTGTTCTCTGATTGGACTTGATCTCATGAGTTAAGATCACTGTCATTAACCACATCTCAGCCCTTAGCTATTGTGTCCACATCCTTCATATTGGAGTTTCACCCCTAATCCAGTTTCTTCTTTTTTAATGTTCTGTTTCTCTTTAGGTCAATTATTATATGACCGTTTTTATGTACAGATACTTTGCATGCTTTCCTCCTCTCCCCCCATTTTAAATCACTGGGAAAGTGATAGGGAGTACTTCATTGTGGCTTTTATCGTCTCGTCCCAGCTGCCGACGCGGACCTGTCCCAGCCGGCAGAGGCTGACGGCTTCGCCGAGGCTCAGAGCAGAGACCTGCCCACGTCAGAAGGTAACTCCACCCAGCCCTGGAAGCGTGAGTCGCTTACAGGACCAGAAGCTAGGAAGCTAATCGGAGCAGCTGTGTTATCTAGCCGCCCAGCTGTTGAGCAGAAGTAGGACTGGTTAAACAGTATATGCATGCTTGGGTATCTTGAGCTGAAGACGACCCCACACACACACACACACACTGATCAGCAAAGGAAACTCGGTATTTGGGTGTTCTCACCATATTTGTTTATATCATTCACCTACATGACGTTTGTGTTCCGGTGACTTATCGTTGTCATGGCACGATATGACACAGGTCAGGATATGACACAGAGCATCAGTTCCAGCTCCAGTTCGATGTGTCCTGGTGTCACTTTGCTGTTGCTTCTGCCGGCCATTTAGGAAATTAGGCATGTTCGGCTCTCGAATTATGACGGCATATGCGGGAAGATTAGGTGTATTACCAAGTGCTTTCACATTTCATTGTTCAGAATCGGTGTTTTCTGAGTTTTCTGAGCTTAAAATCAAAGGCCTCTTTTTTTGAATCCCCTCCCCGCTGCCTTTTTCTTGGATGATGGATGAAGTTTCCTTTTAAGGGTAGCCTGCAATTAAATCCCCCGTACGCTTGGCTTGTACCATTGATTGGAAGGAAGTAATTATGTCACAATAAAATATTTGTCCTGATAGGATTTTTTTCCCCTTAAACATACATGTAATCCAGAATGTTAGCTGGGCTCAACTCTTTTCCATTTTATTTTTTTTAATTTAGCGGGAAAAAATTTATAGCGGTGAACAGTGGAGGCAATCTCACCAAACTGACTTTCGGCATAATTAATAGCTGTACGAACATGTATAGCCGTGCGTAATTACACAAACGTCAAACTCTATATTACTGGTCAGCTTGAAGCTTTGCATTTGACCTTCAGCTTAATTGTGGGAGGCTGTGTGGGTTTCCGGTGAATTTCGGCTTTTCACGAGAGCCTGCCACTTCATCTTGGCCGACCCGTCCGAACCAGCGATGGAAAAAGCGAGCGTGATACTGAGGCGGCTGTTTACATTGGCCGCCGACGCTGAGGTTGGGGCAAGATCTTTTTCATTGTATCTGAAAAGTTCTATTTCAGATACAATGGTGGTGCCTTGTTTTACAACCATTTAAAGTACATTTAAATAGTTCTGTGCCTCTTCATCAGATGCTCATTTTATTACAGGGGCAAAACGCCAGGGATTTGGATGTTCTGAGGCTGGGATTCTGTAAGATTCCCAAGAAACTAGAGCTGAAACAGATATTGTAGGCATGTATTATCCTGTCATTTCTTAATGCTGATACTTTATTCAGCATTTTAAAAGCACATAGGAATTCTTTAGTTTCCCAAATCTCATCTTGCTCTCCTGTGAGAGAGCGGCACACACACACACACATTTTTATATAAAATTAAATAGGTCAGATGGCAACGTTTGGGGTCTGAGTTAAGTCAGCAATTTTTTCTGGAGCAATGTTTAGGGTTAAGGACTTTGCTCAAGGGCCCGACAATGATATAATTTCTCTGGCAATCACAGGATTCAAACCAGCAACCTTCTGAACACGCGTATTGACTCATAAACCACTGAGCCACACACTGCCCCTATGGTTAAGACTGGCTTTGATATTCTGCTTATTTCTGCTCCAGCAAACCCTCTTCTGTGCAGGATGTTTCGTTTACATTTCTGTCATTGCACTGTAGCTTGCTGGTGCAGCTGCCCAGGTGTGCTGAGTCGGCATACGGCTCCTCCTGTAATAATTTTGTTTTTGGTTATCCGTGACACAGATGCGCTCCACTGAAACCCTTTGATTTTATGGTTTAGGGGCCGTTGTGGGTCGTAAGGGCATCATTCAGCCCCCATGAGTCATTAAACAAGGACCTGAACCACATAAATATTGCATGGATTCTAAGTGCGACATGTGGGTCTCTTTGGCGCCCACTTCCTGTGGGAGGCAGGAGTGCACTTTATTTTACACAGTCCGTGAGCATAGAGATGGGATTTATGAGTACAAAGTCTTACAAACTGATTTCAACAATAACATGCAACACTGCAGCCTGTAGTTGGTCTTTGCAAACATCCTACAGTTTCTGTTTTAGATTTTTAATAAACGACTCTCTGACATTGTTGTATATTGTTAAACAGTATTTCAGATACACATATGGAATCATTGCCATTGTAAAGGGTATGTCAGAATCTTTTGGGGCTTCAGACCTAAAGCATTAACCGATAACTCATGGCCAATGGCTGGTCTAAGTCTGGTGGTTTTAAAAACAACATGTACCGTGCATGGCTGAAGGAAATTGTATTACATGCACCTATTACACAGAGAACTGGCCCAGAGTTTTCTGGAAAATTCAATTTGCTTAGCTTTCTGATATGTGCTGCGTGTGCACGTCAGTCCCTGAATGAACATTAACATTCTGGATGACTGCCGACAGCAGTTAACATCAGCTTAAACTAATAATAATAGTATTATTAACATTTCTGTCGACATACTTGCATAAGAATCCCCCTGCTAACATTTGCTTGATGTTTCATGAAAACTATGCAAAGAATTAATCATTCAAATAGCAGTCAACCTACTAAGAAAGAGTAATATGCAAACTTCAACCTGCTGTCCGGAGCCAAGAAAAGAGCCGAGATAAAGCTTCTCCTTTTACCTACCAGTAATGAGAAAACTGATACCTGCTGACAGTTTTTACCGTGTAAAAAATTAGCCATACAACAGATATTAGATATAAACCTGTTTGATGTTTGTTGTGCCACGATGGTCTGAACTTGTAGTATTGAAGGTTAGACATTTGCCAGCATGACATTAAACTAATCGGAAAGAACAGCCGGATTGTTCTGGAAGTGTCGCCCTACTGTTGCAGCCTACTATTCATTAAGTCTTCATAATAACTAGCTCAATTACTGTTTGTATTCCAACGAATGTCTAGCCGCCGTCTCAACCAACGCAATCTGATCCTTCTTCCCAAGCAGTTTATTGATTAAAGAATATTAAGATGATCTATAAATCTTAACTTTTCATGCCCTAAGGCTATTACTACCGGAAATGTTTATTTTTCCATTGCCTGAGTTTATGGGTGCGTGGCATATTGATACAGGGTTTTTCTGATTGGTTGGGGATACATTTCTAAAACTCTTCCAAGAGTTACTCATCCCAGGTGTGGCTTGGGGTCCTTTCCCTTTGGACAGCAGCTCTATCAGCTCATCCCAAGGGAATTTTTGGGAAACGAGAGAGAAGTTATTCCAAGAGCAGTTCATGGTTATTCTCCCGCTCCTGTCACTATGATGACAGGCGAGACAATAGTCTTGTATATGAGTCAACTGCCTGTTATGGAGTCAAAGGAGGCCCTGTGTCAGCCTTTAAGGGAGGAAGCTGTAATTAAGAGTTGAAGGTGTCTGCGTCATACCTCAGCTCTACGAAGAGCCTGCTTTCCGTCGTTTGACTCTTCAAGTTCTGCATCATGCATTTCCAAATATTTTTTCCATCATTGGCAATTAGCAATAGGGCGATAACTATGTCAGCATTACGTTTTGTTCAGTTTAGGGGTTAGATGCTGTCCTGGGAACGTCCTGGTCTCCTCTTCCCTCATGCAGGATCAGATGAATGGCTGTTCAATGGGAATTAATGTGTTGCATTGGGTGGCTAAAGCCAAGTGATCTGGATGATTTTCTTACTGGACTGGGATTCTCTCCATTGCCCGAGCTTGTTGCCTCATCTTTGGGTCCATCTGTTCCATCCTTTGGTGTAACAGTGTTAGCCAAATCAACAAAAATATGACCGAAATGTAGACCAGGAATCTGACATGCCTGCATCTCCAAACGTTCTGTTGAATGTGAGAAGAGCCAAACTGACATGTGTTTTTTTTATTAAAAATTGCTTAACTACTTTTGTTTTTGGCTCTTCAAAAAAATTAAATGGTAATTATATCTGAGCCCAGCCATTTTTTATCATATTTGTTCCTTTTGAATGAACAAGGGGCTGAGTCCCATATGGCATCATCGGCTTTTGGTGGCTTCGATTGATGGCATATTTCTATACAGTTTGGACTCTTATCCCAGGTAAATTTTTTGACCCAAGACTTTATTCTGTTTGGTTCGACCAATCCGTTAAGCAGCCAAAAACCCCATACCATTTGGGGGGGGGGGGCACCATAGTGATTAAATTACTGTCAAAATTGTTCAAATCTTACTTGGCCTCTCCTTGGTCCACTAGTCACGTAAGACTGTAAGCTCCTCACGTGACGTCGTTCTTCGCATTTTACAAATACTGTTGCCTGCTGTCTCCTGCAGTTTCCAGAGTTTCTTAAGTTATCATCCTAAGATTTTCCTATATTCAAAACCTGTAGGAACTCTTGCAACATATAAGAAAACTATAGGTGTCATTTTTTGTTAGATGAATGGATGTTGTTAATACCTTGAACTTTTTGAAGAGTTCAAAAACCTGTTACAGTTCTGGGGCCAGATGTCTGGCCTGTAGCAACGGGGGAAATTGGTTTGTGGGAAATGAATCGATGGCCTGGTTTGCTGTGTGAGGTCCTTGTACCTTAAATGTAGTTTTGTTATCACAGTCTATTCTCTGGTTGCCTGAAGCAGGTTTGAGCAGAGCTTCTTTTCAGTTGTTTGGCTTTCAGGCATGCCTAACAAATGGAGTTCAAATATCATGTGAATCTCCAGAGAAGATTTTCGAGTTTTAAAGTTTTTTTTTTTTTTTTTTTTTTTTTTTTTACTGGAAACAGAACCATAAGAACAAATATCCACCTGGTGCTGCATCTTTGTAGCTCCTCTTTGAGCCCTCCTCTGGGTTTTTGAAAGCTTTGGGCAGCGTGCATCACACCCGAGGCAGCCCGGCGGGGTGTTAACAGAGCGTGCCGGGGAGTGCCGAGAGATCCCCTGTCACGCCGCGGTTCCGATGAAAGATTGCGCCATGTGCCTGTGAGAACCTGCCCTCGACCCGAGGTCCGTGGTGGTTTCGCTCCCAACATGTAGATCTGGGCCTTAACTCCCACCCCTGCCCGCTTGCCCGTCTCTCCTCTTCTTGGAGATTGATATCTCCCAAGCCTCTGGGGTTGATGTGATGCACATCCTGTCATTACCGCCGTCCGATAACGGCAAGTCTCCCAGTGTTATCGTTTTTGTTCCAGCCGCAGAAAAGAGTTTTACACTTCTACAATGTACATCATGTGTTATCGTGCTGAAGCTCTGCAGTTTTGTCTGCTGGGTTTTTCATTGCCCCGGGCCCCCCCCCTCCCTTACTCCCTCCCTCCCACCCCTCACTTTCTGTAGGAGAAATCTGGCTGCAGCAGGCTCCCGCCGATGGGAACTGTGGTGATTAGGGGTCAGAATTAACACCATAATTAAAAGGTTCCAACTTTTGCCTTGTGGTCTAATTGCAGATGAGTCACATGTCAGTAGGGGGCTGGCAGCACCCATTGAATGTGCTCCAATCAGAACAGAGAAAAGAGTCTGAGGGAGTACTGCTTAAAAAAGACATTCTGTGTGGCAACACAAGAGGCCACCGCCTCTCCTCAGCTACATGCTCCCCTGGTCAGGCGCAGGCTTATTGACAGGGGAGGTAGATGTTGTTAGCATCTCCTAAGTAACTTACTATCGAGAGTATGCTAGGTAGACCATCACTAAACTGTCTGAAAACGTTCTGAAAATGCATATAAATATAATCCTTGATTCTAATCGTTATGCGTGTGCAGGCACGATTCGTATCTCATTGGCAATCAGTTTAAATATTGTTCTCATTTCATTTTTTGTTTAACCTGCTGTAATGGGATAGGATTTAATTATTTTTTTTATCCTCCTGAGACCCCACCCATTCATTTATGTCCATTGTAGTGGACATTTTGTTTTTGCATCTATCTTTTCACTGATGTAAGGAAACGTATTTATTCCTGTTGTACACTAAAGAGGACATGCTGTGAAATTAAAAATAAAAACAAATTTGAAAAAATCTAAATTGTAAGATGTCTTATTTCCCCCAAAGACAAATAACCTATAATTGAAGGACAATTTTTTCCTTGGGTCTCAGGAGGATATGTTAGCGTGCTTTACTGGTGTAACGATAGCTTCGTAGTTGCTAACCGCTTGCTAATATCGAATACACTGTTTACAAGATTATGTATGGCTAGTTAGACTTTGGTTAGCTGCTAAAGAAAACCTTGTATATATTTGTACAAACCTGTGTGTCAGCGACTCGCTAATTCTTGCTCGGCATCTGGCTCTGCTTCCTATTGTTGAGAACCGTGAAGGTGTCTAACCAGTATGATCCGGTTTCTAGTGGATTGGGTCTGAGCTAATGCTGAGGCCTGGGTGAGAAAAGCCCCACACCTTGAAGAGCCCTACATGTTTGCTCACACCTCTGTGGTTCTTGGCCCATGCTGGCCTTCTCACCTCTCCCACACCCCGTGCACCCCTCAGGACGAGGGGCTATGGGGCGATCCGCTGCACCCCTCAGGACGAGGGGCTATGGGGCGATCCGCCGTGGCGGTTTGTCACCTCTGACTTGTTACCTTTCACGTCTCCCTGGGCACTGGGGTAAGAGTCCCTCACTTGCTGATCAGTGTCTGGGGGGATTGAGGTACTTACCGGCTTTCTGGAAGGAGACATCCTAAAGATGGTATGTGTCGATGTCACTTTTCCACTAGAACACACCCCCGTAGAGTGGCAAAATTTCCTGCGACATAACTGATTTTAGTTGGCGAAACTGCAAAACATGATCTGCTTAAATTCAAGGCAGCTGGACTCGATAGGGATCCATACAACTTACCAAAGGATCAGTGGACCATAGACATTGATATGTTGCCAGTAATTGGGCTTCCTGACAATGTATTTTTGTAGAAACTTTTAAAGTTATCTGACTGTCTAAACTTCCTTGGAAAACTGGGTTTATCTGACTATCACCCACTTTGCTTTTAGAACACAAGACTCATCACTATGGATGTTTAATAAATGTTGACAAAAACGTTACATTTACACAAAATATGAATGAATGACGCTAAATATATTTAAGTTTGGGTAATATTTTACCTTAACTTAAGGTAAAATATTACCTAAAAATCCAACAGAATTGACACAAACTGACAGCTGCAAATCCACATTTCAGAGTCTAGGTTCTAGTAATTTCTGTGGATTGCAGTAATCCATTTACTTCCCTTTTCTTTAGCTTTCAGTCGTCTGTAAAAAGATGTCTTAAATTGATTTGCACAATCAATCGCACAACAGCCCCTTCCAATTTTAGAGGTATTTTCGCAGCATTCAAGCTGAACTTAAGTGCTACTGTGACATCATGTGGGTACTCTCTATAGGTATATGTAACTGGAAGTTTAATAAAATATTTTCCCTGCTATGTGATTGCCTTTTAATTTAATATTTTATTGAGCGATGTGTGGTATTTCCAAAGAAAGCATCAATTGATGACCACATCGCCATTAATACCTGTATTTCGGGGTAGAAGTTCTTCAACAGAGACGTGCTGTAGATATCAGGCTTAACTACATGCCAAAATAAATAGCATTGTATACATTAATAATGTTTACCTTCAGAGTCCAGATAGATTCTTCCAGGAGGATGGTTTGTTTTGTGGAATAGTCTGGGTTACTTAATCCAGATGTAACTGCTCATGTTACCCTGAGTTCAGCAGTTCAGCAGCAAAATAATACCATCAAATGTGGAGACGGCACTCTGGAAGAGGGGCAGTGACCAGTCAGCTCTTGTTTATCCAGTCCCTTTAAATGAGACACATCTGTAGAGGGGCACGCTGGTTCTGCACGAAAGGGAACGTCTTCATTTTTGATGACCATGATGCCTTTTTTTTGCCATTTGCACAAGCATGAGTACAGATACATGGGATTGCTTCATTTTTGGCGTATCCCATCATGCTCTCCTTTGAGACACACAGACACATGAGAGTGAGGCTTGGGGTCCGAGGGCCGGGCCACATATCCCGCTTTCCCTGGAGCAGTTCGGCTGGTTAGGCTCCAGTGCCCAGCTGCCACTTGCTGCCATTCCAATGGCAGATTGCAAACGGGACCAGCAAACATACAACCCTGGGAAAAAAATTCGAGACCACTCTATATTTTTAAACTGACTTTGTAAATTTGTAAAATTTGTCAATCCTGGTTAAATCCTGGTTCTGCTAGCAGAAGGCTACACTATGCAGCAGGTTGCTTCCAGGTTCAAAATTTCTAAGCAGTAGGCAAGAATAAGGTGAAACAGGAGACACTGGGAATGACCAGAAACTAGCCAGGTAGAGGGCAGAAGTGACTTCCTAATGCCAGAGATGACCGTCAACTTATCCAACAGTTTCTCATGAATCGTAGGATGACATCAAGTGACCTTCAAAAGGAATGGGAAACATTAAGTGCAGGTGTGAAGTGCTCTGCTTGGACAGTTCGTATCAGGACCCTAGAAGCAGGACTCAAGTCCCATAATGCATTGAAGAAGCCCTTTATTAATAAGAAACAGAAAAACAAGGCGGCATTTTGCCAAAAAAGAAATATTTATTCACAGTTGCACACCCATAAATTGAGAAATGTGTGAAACAAAAAATGTTGTGGTCTCTGCATTTTTCTCCAGAGCTGTATATGGATGAGGGTAGGCTGTGGAGGACAGTATTTGCAGGCCTGCTTTTGACCCGTCTCTCCGACCCGGTCTCCCCCCTTCCAGGTAACTTCCTGGAGTTCCTGGAACCGGTCAACAACATCACAACGCTCCAGGGACAAACGGCTACCCTGCACTGCAAGGTGCTGGGCAACCCCAAGCCCAACATCAAGTGGCTGAAGAACGACGCGCCCGTGGTCCAGGAACAGGGCCGCATCTCCATCCGCAAGACCGAGTCGGGCTCTAAGCTGCGCATCCAGGACCTAGACACCACCGACACGGGATACTACCAGTGTGTGGCCTCCAACAGCGTCAAGGTTATCTCTGCCACAGGGGTACTCTACGTCCGCCTTGGTAAGGGCAGAAAAATCCATATCTCTGTCTGTTTATGCTTTTCCCAGAATTCCCACAAACCCATGTGTTATTTCTGTTAGGTTTTCAATGAGTTAAACAGAAACAAACTTAAGAGTTTAGGTCTGCAGAAACCGAAACCCAGACAACCTCTTGGTCTAATATGTGAGCTGGTTTTCGCCCTTGTAGTAGATTTTCCTGCAGCCTTACCTGCTCTATGCAGAATTTGAGGTTCAACCAGAATCCTCGGCACCATCTATCGTACTTCGACTTCCATGTCGACTAGATTCTGGTCGTCAAATGAATCATAAGCTTTGTTATAATGGGGATATGCCCCCCCCCCCCCCCCCCCCAGCTAGTGGTCATAGAGAAGAATTGCGGCATTCACCATTGCAGGCGTGTTTTTCTAAAAACCAGTTATACTCCATCAGTGAGCTCGTATTTTCTTTCCTACTCGTCTTTGCTGTTATTTGAGAAAATCACGGCCGCCAACAGAACGGGACAGGGGCTGTTTCAGTGTTTATTGCCATCATCTGCAGAAATGTGTTTTTCTCTATTGATTTATTGAAGGCTACCGGTATAAATCTTCATCCCCCTCCAGAACAGGCTGCCTTATTTCAGCAGAAGCGAATCTCAGTGGGTTTTTATAACGATGATAATTACCAATTTCATGGTTTAAAAAGTAGTTATATCCTGTGACTAAACATTGCATTTAAACATTTCTCAGTTTTTATCTTTATTTTTTTTTAAGAATCTGCAGATTTATTGTCCTCTACGCAAGTCCACTTTGTCACTTGACAGATTTTCTCATTAAGTGCAACGTTCACATCGCCAGAATCACTCCGTAATAACTCCCCAAAAACATAGTACAGGAGACAATCTACAAAACAGCTAAGCTAGAAGCTTCTGGATAGACTTCTGGATAGACTTGGGAGTCCGCATGTTGGAGCTCATCCAGTGGCTGTCCGTTCGACTATGCGGCCAAGCAATGGTGTGGAGTGTGAGGGATTTGGGGTCCAATTTGAGATGGGCCCAGTTCTGCTCTGTAACTCTGCTCCAGATCGTCCTGCTTGCCATCTGCCCAATGAAAAGCCTTCTCATTTGCTCAGCTAAAGTCACTTTATCTGGGGCCCAGCAAATACACCCATTAGACTCTTCACTAGTTCCCAAGGGTGCTTTGATGCAGTGTCTCCTAACCCGGTTCTCAGGGATGCCCCAACAGTCCAGGTTCTTGCTCCCTCCAATCCCCGGGGGCAAAAACGTGGTCTGTCTGGGGGTCCCCGTAAGTCCACGTACTTACCCCACCTGAAACCCCAGGGCCTCCACTCTTCCCTGTAACCCCCCCCTAGTTGGATAACTACACCATCATAGAAAGTAGTACGAAGGCCTCTGGCAACTCAAACAGCCCCGTCTCTGCTTGTTCCAATCAAAATTAAGTACCTGAGTCACAGTTTTCACCATGATAATACCACTCTAAATGAATCTGATCTCTCTGCAATAGCATGTCTTTACCCCTGGGGGGGGGGCGCCAAGTGAGAGCAGGGTCGAGTGCCATGACAAGGTCACCTTTCGTGTTTCAGAAAAGCGTTAATGACACTAAGCCCCCGCTCTGAGAATCTGTCGCCCTAATCCCCACGCATAGTTATTTAGACTGTAATTATGTGCTTAGAAATGAAATGTTAGGCCACTGGAGTCAGGCCGAGAGAGGGGCGGCGCCGCGCGGCATTCACGACTCCATTCTTCACGTATGAAACACGCTCTCTCTCTTTCCTTCCCCAGGTCAATCGCCAACACATGGACCAGATGACCCGTAAGTACAGTGTGTGTGTGTGTGTGTGTGTGTGTGTGTGTGTGTGTCTCTCTGCTCTTTTGACATTGTCATTTAACCAATTAGGGCAATTTGGGCACTTTTTGTAAATTGCACTCTCAGGAGGTTTTGCTAAAATACTCTTTCCATCTTAACGGCTTTATGGATTAACGGAGAGCTGGGAAAAGTCAGACATGCTGAGGGCAACAATCAGTAAAACCTTTTAAATGTAACAATTATTAATGACTAATTGAAGCAGTGAATGCCTTCAGAAAAGTGCCTTCATAAACTCTGCCAACCATAAAGTTCATAGCTAGTATTAACACTGTATTATTCGCGGTTATAATTAACTGAGTACATGACAAAAGAAAATGGTTTAAAAATGCTGTTGTTGGTACTTCTCCAGATTGCAGAGATAAAATACTGATTGTAGGATAAGGACGTTTTTTCCAGGTTGTGCTTAATTTAAACACTTACACAAACACTGGCGCTGTGTGTTCTGAGACTTGATGTATCGCTTATACTTCATTATCTTAATCATCTCCCATGACTGGCCAGTTGTGGGCACAGGTCTGCTGCTCATGAATGGGTCGTTAGCAGTGCTGTTCTTGCTAAGTAGAGCCTGTTATTGACCTCTTACCATTGTCTGTTTGTAGTTCTGGGGGTTTACCAAATAGTTTGGTGAAGTTCCTCGCTCAGGGGTACATCAACGTTGATCCTTGAGCTCGATTTGTCGTCTGGCTCCTGGAAAGCCTAGAGTTTCCGAGTGAGATATTGGTGGGATTTTATAGCTGATCAGTGATGAATATTGTAGGTTCACGTGCGGTGAGAGCGTGGCTCTCTATTTTTCTTGGAAATGTTTGTTCCCTAGAGCTGTGTTGTGTTTCAGGGTCGCTGCTGTTGCGGTGATCGTCTCTGCCTTCTCGTGCCGATAAACAATCATGTTTAATGTAAGGATAGACTTTAAAGTAAAACACTGATGAATGCCAAAATGTCTGTGCTACACCCATGAGTGACAACTAATAATAAAGTACATAAGTCATCGGAGTTTGGACCCAATTACTGTTTATAGACTTTTTTCAAATTAAGTTTTAACATAGTAACACCAATGCTGTTATTAAATGTACATCAGACAGAAGTTGTGCATCACATGACATGCATCTGCAGTCTGGCAGATCAGGAGCTCCAGGTGCTTCAGAGCCACCTAAGGCTTGCATCTCCTCTTCTATTGCTCCTCTGTGGTCCTCACCTCCTGTATCTTCTTGCACCTGGACTTGAGGCCTTCCAAGGGTTCCTTTGTTCCTTCTGGGTTCTGTTCCTTTCTGGCAGACAACGCAGAATTAGGGGTTGGGGGGGGGGGCATCAGTGGGTTCAAGGACGTAGGATTGAGTGAGTGGGGGGGGGGAGGTTTGGTGGACAGACCCTTGGTTTTATGAAGGTGCAGCCAGGTCCCGCTGGAGACCCTTTTAGGGCAAACAAAAAGGCTATTCTGTCGCAGGCTTCTGGCTAATTTCTCAACGGGCTTCCCAACCTGGCAACCTCCCTGTTTGGGGAACGGAACATGCGACCGACTCTTAATTGTTCCCTCATAAGTTAAATAAATACCATGGTGTCATAAGGGGCATAATGAAAACAGCGAGTGCAGGCCGCGGTTAGGCTCCCGCATGCAGGAGTGGGGGAGGGGGAAGCTGACCTTTCACATGGCTTATTTTGTTTCCCAGTGAAACAGAGACAGGCAGTTGCAGCACCTCAATCTGTAATTTTGACATCAACTTACTTCACTACTGAACACACAAAACAGATTTATACTTTTCCTGTGCTTAACGATACATAGTAACAACAGATCTTCTGGTAGTAAGGTCCTTCCAGACTGAATTTAAAGCAGGATTTATCTGACCCGGAGCATATAGCTATGAGTATAGTTGGTCAGTCATTTGGGGCGACTTTACGGCCTCAGTTTTAGCTGAAGAGCCCGTGCTTGTTTACCACAGTCTCCTTGAGATTGCCAGCGTCAATTAGTGTTCAACGCCACCTTGATTTGCGGAGATGGTCGTGTGTAAACGGCTCACAATCATTCCCAGACTCGGTCAGCCGCCAGGCTCAAACTGGGGCCAGATGGGATCTCCGTCCGAGTGCAGCCAGCCAATCGCAGGGCGGCAGGCCTGTTGCAAATGGAAAGTTCTTTTGAGGAGAGAAACAATAGATCTTTGACTACAGAAAATTGTCCCATTAGAGAAGTTTGCAGCTTTTTTTTATAGATGCACAGACACATTCTGTGACATTATGTCCCAAAAGGAAGAGAAGCTTGCTAGAGGTATATATTATACATATATATAATTTTAAACGTCTAGCCCCGAACAGTGATGCTTAAATATGCGGATGCTTAAAAACAGCCTGGGAATGAAATCAGGCCCTATGAGTGCATCTTGAGTACCGCTCTGATTTGCTGAGGTCTAGAAGGTCATCGGCATCCATCGCTGCGTCGCACCCCAAACCCGTCTGATACGTTATCCCTCCACCCCCCAGTTCAACTGCGTACTTGCGGCACTGGTCCTCCAGTGGACCTGATGGGCCTAATGGTCTCCGACGCAGGTCATAGGCCCCATTAAGCTCTTGTCATAAATTCCAGATGGCAGGAATGCCTTTGTATCTCCCCCTGATTCTCCCTGTGCGTCAGCCCCAGCCACCCCCCCCGCCCCCCCCCCCCCCGCTCCACAAACCGCGGCCGCTTTTGGCCGACCTCCTTGCAGCTGTGTGTGCGCTCCTGGGCCCACCACTGCCCATGAAAGGAGCGCTCCGAGCCGCCCAGCAGTCCCACTGCCAGGGCCATGTCCCTCCACGTAGGTAGTAAAGATGTCAGAGAGACTCGCGTCCATCTCTTGGCTCCTAATCGTAATTTCACTCTAGATGGAATCACCGGCCGACTTCGTGGGCAATCGTTTGACTAGTAAAGAATAATGTTTGCCTTGTTTATCCTTCGTGGAGGGAAGTGACTGATTTGTTTAATTCTAATAAAGTATTTATTTAACATGCAGATATATGCCCCCCCGCCATTGTTGATTCAGTATTGCCACCTTGTGGTGGGTATGGAAGTCTGCACATTTAAGTTACTGGATTTGTTTGACTTTTCTAAACAAAACTGAGCTTCTGTTTGTTTTTGGAGAGTTGATGCTGATGGTGTGACGCCGTTTTGCTGGCGTGTCCCCAGCAGTGACTACTGGCGAAAGTCGGAAATCAAGGATTTTTTTTTCTGTCAAAATGGTGTTAGTCTGTCATGACGGGGAGGGGGGGACAACAAGAGAATGCTTTTTTGGTCTATTGGAATGGGGCCTAAAATAGGTTCCTGTGTTAGGCCCACTTTGCAAGTCGGTCTCTGTGCCCCCGTCACCCGCACCGAACAAACGCTCCTCTGTTCAGCCTCTCGTGCGCACGCTCGAAGTTTACTGGGACCTTGGGGGCAGCTGAAGCACTGCCCTGCACCCGGCCAGGATTTCATATTGGCACCACATGCTTTGGCCTTGTTTTCAGTAAAATGAAAGCTGGACCGGCTCTTGTAAATAGTGTCTGAAACTAAATCTGGGCTCAGGTTTCCCTTTTTCCCTTTCCGAATCTCAATGGATATTTTAATCCCTGCAAATTAACGTCAGGCTGGGAAAGTGTGTCCAAACACGCTGATTTTTAGCACAGCTTGTCTTGGACGTCACAGATAAACTAGCTCTCGGTTTCGCTTTGCTGGACTTCGGAAACCGCAGCTTGTAGCTGGAGTCGCTCTTACGGTCCTGAATGCTCTTTGCGTAAAAATGGTCTGCTGGATTCTTCTGCTGGAGATGGGACTTCAAAACGGCTGGAATCGACAGCTGTAAAAAAAGAAAAAGAAAAAAAAAAGCTATGAATGTAGCAGGTAATGTGGACCGTAACGTGTACACATGGAGGACAGCAGGGATTGTAATCCCAAATGTATTCTTCAAAATGTACATTAACACATCTTTGTATATATATGCTTATATAAAATTGGGCTCAGGTTGAGTCCCTCCATCATCGATTCCACCTTTGCAGAGTAAATCAAGTTATAGTGAAGTTTCACTCTTCAAATGTAACCTCATAAAAAATGTCCCTGCAGTCGGTTTAAAATGGGCAGAATGATTACCACATGTGACTCCAGAAGACATGCTGGTGCAGGCGGTGACAGCTGTCGTGGCAAATGGAAGGAAAAAAACTGGGTGAGAATGCAGAGTAAATATTCTGACCACATTTAAAATGCTTCTTTAAAACAGAAACACACAGACAGTTACATTTCCTCGTTTTGTTGCTGCAGTCGTCTGTTGTTGTTTCTTGAGCCGATGTTTGCATTGAATGTGACAAAATGGCGTCCTTGTTTGAAAGACCTCCTGTAGCCTCCGGCCCTTGAAGATGGGGCCCGTTTTTCCATGGCTGGCGTTCTGTTTGAGTCTTCACGACCCCTAAGACCCATAACAAAAGCATGCTGGTTTAAGTGCGACTTGAGATTTACCAGTTGCTGATACCCCTGGTTGTGTTTACAGTATGCCTGGGCAAAGCAGCAATTACAGAGGCCCAGCCAAGTCCTTTGTGCCTGTCCCTAATTTATTTTTGCATGACATCTTACATTACGTTGGCATTTATCCAGATTTCCCTCACTTTCCCTAAAAACCGAATGGATTGTTGTTGTTTGTTGTTATGCATTAAAACTACTAGTTGTTTTTTTTTTGCTTGTCTTTTGCTACTTTGTGTTTTTATTTCCATTTCTGTGATGGCAGAGCTGGCCTGAGGTCAGAGTTGATTTTGAGCTCTTTTCCACTGTACCAAGTACTTCAGGAAAGTAACAAAAGTACAGTGCAAGGTGTCATTCAGTGCAGTGAATGACATCACAACACGAGGCGGGGTATTTTGTACTGAATTTGAAAAATGGCTGTAGTATATTATATGGCTAGATAGAAAGAGAAAATTTCAAGGCGGCGTTTGTATTGTGTGTCAGTGACAGGCTATTTGCATGTACAATCGACAAAGAAAGTGTTTCAAGTCCCACCCCAAAATACCAAAGTATGAAAGAAGCTAAGTTAGTAAGTAAGTAAGTTCCAGCTAGTTTGGCACTTTCGGTACTTGAACTTTTGGTAACTGGTACTTGACCGGAAGTCAATGAAAAAGCGAAAGTACCGAAAGTACTTGGTGCGGTGGGAAAACACCCTTTTGCGTGTTTTGTGACACCCCCCCCCACCCCCCCCCCCT